CACTGTTGCGAACGGATGAACATAACGATAAATATCGTGCCTAGGAGTCTAGAACAAGAATCTCTCAGTTGATCAACTGGAAATAATATCTTGACGGCACCCCCACTACGGTGGTCCCCGAAGAACATGAGTTACAAAGAACTACGATACCCAATCGCTTCATACAAACTATCACAATTCTGGAAGCGATGCGATCGTAAGGGAGCTCATCTCCGATATGTCTGTATACAACAGCATCGACCCAATGAAAGCTTCATAAGCGTAGCATAATTCCTCAGTGAAGGAATGGTGAATTCGTCTGAACGAGTGAGGCGTCAGCTAAACAGTTCGATAGTGGGAGCCTTCATCTAGAACAATGAAATCATGACCTATGCCTCTCGCCCGTGGACTCTCAGAAGTTAATAATAGCACCATAGATCCCAATTCCCATCACAACAAAGGCAACCATAGCGAACAAGGAGTGGAGGAGTATCTCCCATATAGGCCAAGGTAGTTGGTGCTGCCTCTTTGCCTTCATGTAACAGGCTATCGGAAAAAGAGTTGTGATCTGGGTCACACAAAAAGCACCTATAAGACTCACAATACTGCTGACCTTGGGAATCACAATGGCGAGGCCTCCTTCGAGGATTACAAGGATAGTACGACAAATAAGCGCCGCAAGTGTGCACCGACCAACAGACCACCCCTTCCTTTCACCGATGTGGGAACACATTGCGTCGATTTGTTTGGCTGTCGGTGTGAATAGGACCAGATAGTGCGGCAACATGACTGCAAGAATTGTAATATTGATGAGCCACCCGAATACGTCGAGTGTCTGTCCAGGTGGAGAAATCGCATCCACAATTGTATCGACTGTCGTTAGAAATTGACCATAACCTACGTATCCTAGCTCCATTACAGATGAATATAATAATGTGATGAAGATGGTGGCGGCCACCACCGTTTTGGGGAAATTCCTAGGCTTAGTCATATGGTAGCAGATAGTGGGTGTGGTTGCGGTGAAACCGTAAACGAAAAAGTAGGAGGCTAAGGATGATATGAACTCCACAACATCGCTGGGCACGACTGCGAGGCTTGCAGTATGCCATCAGTGACCATTCTGTCAGCCGATGCAACAATAATAATAATCACCATCGCAGA